ATAGATAGATTTTCCCAAAATTTCGCTATTGTACTTAATCAATGCTATTTTATCTATTTATTTATTCATTTTTTCAAACAAGTTCTGATGATTTTTTACTTTACTTTCTAGCAAAAAATGGAGCTAAAAAGCGAACAAAAATCCAATTTCACTTTGTATTCAAATATTTAAATTATATCAAAACTTATTTTTTTATTTTTTTGATAAATGCTTTAATGCTTTACTTCCACGTATATACATTTTGGAACTGTTAAACTTGATTATATTTGTAGAATTTTAACTACACGCAAATATGTTTAATTTGTTTGACTCGAAAATTGAAAAGTCAACATTATTTGCATTAATAATTATTCAACTTTTTTGTTTTTACAGTTTTTTCAAGTTAATCTTCTAAACTCATGACAAAATGTAAAATCTGCAAACAAAATACATTCAATAGCAAGAATCACTTCTGAAGCAGCTCAAAAAATTTATGCAATGCCATTTTGTTATCGATATACTATCGTCTGCTCACATCTGGTCCACAAAAGTAGCAGTGAATTTTGAATAGATTTATCTGAAATATTTTAGCATTCAAAGCTTCGTATGATCTTATTTTCAATCTTGTAAATCCCTTTTTGAATTAAAAATAAATAAATTTTAAATTTAAGAAAGTATAAATTTTTTATTTTCAAAAACAGAAGAAAATATTAATCAGTGCTACCAAGCTTTTTGTTTAAGCTACGAAATTATTAGCAACAATAAATAATCTTTGATTTTATTTACAATTTCTTTCGCATATGTAAATAATTTGTGCGAAAATGAAGGCGTTTTTTTATTTTCTGACTTTTGTATACAACATTCATTTCCTGAATGTATTCTCGTAAAAAATTCAGTTAGTTCAGAAATAAGTCTAAATTTTTGCTTTTGTTGTGTTTTGCTTATTAGCAATCAATTCCAAGCAGTCGTCGATACTTTACTTTGATATTTAGTTCAATTTTTTACGTTTGCTGAATTAATTATGCATTTTAGAGTAATACAAATTAAAACAATCGTTGAGCAAAGAGTTATTTATTTGTTTGCTTTCGAAGAGTGTCATTTTCAGTCATTTCTAAAAGCTCAAAAAAGTTTTTTATTTTGCCAGAAATTATCAGAAGAAATTTTTCACATTTTAACATATTTTAAGATTAAAAATTTATTTTTGTACAAGTTTTGACATTCATTATTGTGTTCAATATTATTTTTATTATTAGAAACTGTATAAAATATTTTAAAACTTGCAAATATATGAATTTTTTATTGTAGTCATTGTTAATAATAATAATAATAATAATAAAACCATGGTTACTTAAAGAGAACAATAATAATAATGATAATAATGATAAAATCATGATTACTTAAAATCATGACTTAATGAATAAAATATTAAATATTAATAATGACATATTGGATAAATTGACAGTCATTCAAGCAACAAATCTTTACATTTTGCACTCGAAAACGTAAGAATAGTTTGTATTCATCACTTTGCTTTATTCTTTTAATTCATTATTCCACAAATATGAAGATCCAATCTCGAATTGATAATAAAATCTTCATACAATCGATGAGGCTAGCAAGTATTTACACTTGGCTAAGTGTTATTTTAATACTAGGCGAGTCTCAGCTATGCATTCATGAAACAAAGATAAATTCAGATTAATCATTTTGAGCAAATATTTGCTTGCATGTACTAGCCTTGTCTATGTATACAATTTATCAAGCCTAATTTTTTTCAAAAATATTTGCTTTCTTATTAAAAATCATTTATTATTATTATTATTATTATATTTAATAAAAAATCTTATCCTTTTTATTTTTTATATTTTATTATTTTCACTTCTGAATAATTTCGTATATTTTTAGTTATTTTCATTTATTTCAATTTTTATCTGCTAGAAAATCAGAATAACTTTTTGTTGATACTTTTTTGTTACTACTTTCTTCGATATGAACTTTTATTTTTTATCAAAGTATTAAATGAAATTTGCGTGGTTGGTTTGGTGTCGCAAGTGATTTCCTTTCTAAAATTTTAAATATTTTAATTTTTTAAATTAGTTTTTCACATACTTCTTTTTCAGTCCTATTCAATAAATTATCCTAATGAATAATAGACTGAACTTTTGAAATTAAAGTCGAATTAAGCTGTTTCCTTTCATTTTTTGCTTATTTGATTTAAAATTAGAATAATTTGCAAATATTTTATGCAATAAAAAACAAAATAACTTGCTAAGTGACAAATTAATATATTTGGAATAATACTCGTTTTTTATAACTTCTAATATAAATAAATCATTTAATTTTGTTAAATTCCAATTTTTGCAAAATTTAAAAGTAGTTTTTAATTATGTTCAATTTAAATTAATTCTTGCGTCAAGTAGCAAATTTAGCATATTTTGCTCCACGTAGATAGATAGCCTCGGGGGAATATTACAATTTTCTTGATCGTTACTGACTTCATTCTTTTTTTTAATGTATCATTTTACTATCTATGATGGCAATATTGTGTGATAATTTGCTTAATGCATTATTAATAAAGCGATAATAATTTCTTGCAAGACTTTTGCAAAAAAATTTTGCAAATTATTTTCTCAGTCGTCTTTTTCTTTACTAAACTTTATTTGTTATTCTAAAAAATGAGCAATATTTGTTATCATTTTTATACTGAAAGATTGGAGCATTTATTTTGCTCAAATTGTTACAATCAAAAAATGCAAAAATTAGTTTACTGATCACATTTTTCTGATTACTTTTTGATTATCAAATTATTTAGCATATATTATTTGGTGCTGAATGCATTCATTGTCAAACATTGTAATTCCTCTAACTTTCTCTTATGATTGTGCAGTAAATGAATATATTACTTTAATTTTGTTGTAAAAAACTTTCTTTTTTTGTTTAATTTTTTGAACAAAAAAAGTTAGCAAAATTCAGTTTTGTCCAACAAATTTTGCTTTAAAACTTTTGCAAAGAGTTTAAATTTTTTTCTTAACTGAAAGAGGTCAATCCTATTAAATTTAATTTAATAAAATTTAGTTTTAATTGAATTTTTGAAAATTTACACTTTGTTTTTTTGTTTGTAAATTGACTTAAAGTTTCAATTTTAATGATTTCATTTGTTTGCTACAAACGTATGCTAATTTTTCATATGCTATGCAATTTATTCATTTTAATTCGGTGCATTTTTTTAAATTCGCTTTTTTATATGACTTTTTTAATGAAGTGACTATAAAAGTTATCATTTACAGCTATAATATAAAAGTTAGTAATTATGTAGTGATTAATTATTAGTTCTTTCTGAATTTTTATATTTTGTTTATATTAAATTTACATGTTTAATTTTACTTAAGTTAACATATTTATAAATTTCAAATTTTTGTTTTGGTTCGATCTTATTCATTTAATTTTTTTAATTTGAATCATTAAATTTGCAATATTAATATATTTTAATATTTGAATATTTAAGTCAGTACAGCTTGGCTCAGATCTACTTCACTTATTTTGGTCTAATTTCGATTTAGTCTAATTTAGTTTTTATTGTTTGATTTTAAATTTTGTTAACTTTCAGTAATGAGTAATCATTTTATCATGGCGTGCTTTGTTACTTTAACAGAATTATTTTGTTATAAAAATCAGCAATAAACGTAAAAACAAACACTGCGTAAGAAACAGTTGTAAATTTGTAATATATAAAATATAGACAAAAATTTTTAAATATTAAAAAGTAGTCAATGAAAAATATTCAAAATGACAAGCCAAACATTGCTTAGGTTAATTTTGCTTTTCTGAGTCTCTAAAATTTGCAGCTAAATATTAAACAGAAAAAAGTGTAATATTATTAACATATTTTAATCGTTAAATATTTATTTACTTTAAAAGTGAAAAAATATTTTAGTATTTCAGAATTTATCTGACTGACTTCATTACATTTTACGCATTCCTTCACTTTACTTTAATATTTTCAACCATTTTTATTGCTTGGAAATTTAGTCAATTTTTTAAAAATCAAAGAAAATTTATTTCTAATTATTATTGTTTTTTATTACAGAACAAAATCGTAAAAAAATAAAAAGTCAACTACATACTTTAAATTTGTTCGGTAAATTTTCTGCTCACACTATTGAAGAACACAAGAAAAATGGAGTGTATATTTCTTTGGCTTTTAATACAATTTATTATTTCTTCCAAATTTTCGCATTTACTTTACTATTGTCATAGAAGTAAATCCAGGTCAGAGGTTAATTTCTTTGCTGAAATATACTTTGTGCATATTGCCATACTATATCACGTTTTTGAGCAACTTTTCATCGTATAATACAACATAAATAATAAATTTTGATGCGTAAATTAAAACTCTTTGTTTTCGTTAGTTTTTTAAATTGTTTGAAATATTCTATTAAAATTAAAACAAATTGTAAAAATATATTGTGTAGTGCTAAATCATTGAATGACAAGAATCTTTTGCATTGTAATTTTGTTCAAACATTACAAAATATAATTTCATATTGAATGTAGTTTTGTGTCGTTGTTGCCTTAAGGTTATTAATCAACCATAATGATGATGATGATAATGATAATGATGATATTATTATTATTATTACTATAATAATAATAATTATTATTGTTTTTACTATTATTACATCATAATAATTGCGAATAATAACGACATGAAGAATGATGACAGAATAATGCTATACTAATAATCATCTCAACTCACAGATTGTTATGCTGTAATCGTTATAACACTGTTATCATATGATCGGTGCATATAATAAACAAACGTTGCAGCGATATACAAATTGTGTGAGTAAATTTTTAATTTCAGATTATTTTCAGCCGAGTCAATTTTGTTGCTACAATTTAGACAGATTATTTTTATACAAAGAGAAAAAATTTACATATATGGCAGATGTGCTCACATGGCAATGCAAACAACACATCCTCTCAAACCCTAAGACAGATTTAGCTGCTGAAAGAACAGTATGTTCAGCTGGTCACTATCTAATTCTTCTGCAACATTGAAATCTGTTAAATCGTAAGTTTTTCAGTTTCAATTTTAAAAAATTATCAAAAAATTGTTGCATTGATTTTTTGATTTATAGATCAATCAGTTATCGAAGTAATCAATTCATTTGTTATTTAATTTGCATCAAAATTTATCTATTAATTATTGTTCTAGCACACAAATTTATTAAAGTTCATCAAGTATGTCACTGTCATTACTATAAAATATAATTAAATGCGTCATTTCTTTTGTTTATGGTTGTTTTAAATGAAATTATTACACGTGCTGTCATTAGTATTAGTAGACAAATTATATCATAAATTTTTGCTCAATTATTATATAAAATATGGACACAAAAATTTATAATTGTTAATTGTCAAATCGCCATTCGCACGGCTATCCTTAATCTGTCAAGTAATTGTTGCGCTGCAATTCATAAAATAATATTTTTGTACATAATTAATTAATTACTCAAGTAATTAATGAGATTATATGAATAAGTATGACAAAAATAAAGAATTGGTAGATAAGTTTTACAGACTATCGTCGTCAACATCCTCGTTTGGTCGAACATTTCTCGAGAATTTTACTCGTTCTTCATTGTATTATTCATTAACATCACTTGATAAAACCAATTTATGGAGCAAATTTTATGTTGAACATGACGAGAATATCCAAGTAAACTTATCAATAAACTTTTTATCTTTATTCTTCCAGTACAATCAATGCATTATTTACTGTAAAACGTGAACTCATGCTATAATTATAAAATTTAGGTTAGCGTAATATAGTCATACTGCTATTATCATTTCGTTATAATTTGATTACTATTTTAAATTCCGGATACAACATACAAAAAAAGCTTAAAATTTTTTGAAGTATTTGCAAAAAATGGACTGCTTATTGCTTGTCAACTATTCTCTCATGAAAGTAACGTAAATTATTTAAATTTAAATAATTTGGATTGAAGGCATAAATGTTTTAATTAGATGAAAATCAGTACTGATAATTTTAGTTTGAAACTTCGAGCATTGTAAATCGTTAATTTTATTATTTTTTGAAAAATTATATCGCAAATTTAATTATAATTTTATCAAAAAAAATTTATTAAATTTGGGATTAAAAAATTTTTATTAAATTTGGGATATAATTTTAAAAAAATGAGAAATAAAAAATTTTTTTTTTAATTTATAGCATTTTTATAAAGGCTTTTTTTTGGAAACTATGTTAAGTATCGTATCATCAATGTATTTTCTATCTATTTTTCTCTATTTTCTTGCTTTTTTGAAATTGAATAAAAATTCTGAAAAAGTTTACTTCCATCAATTTCGCAAAATTTTATTGTAGAAATAATTGAAAAGAAAAATTATGCGTGCAAAATTTTTGGATAAATGGCGTGAATGATAAGTGAACAAATGCACGTACAATTAAAATACTGAATATTTTACTTATTTGGTTTGATTCAGAAAGTTTTGGATGTAGTATCCGTAGATCAGAAAGTGATCACAAATCCGAATGCTAATAAACGACGACGTACGGTGATGGTTACTCGTACTGATGGACAAGCGTTTGGTTTCACTTTACAAGTAAAATTTTTATTGCATTTTTCACAGTTATTGTAATTCATTTAACAAATTATAGCTGAATTATTTGGATTAATTTCAAATCAAAAAATGCATTATATGAGCAATAAAATTCTTTTAAATATGAGATTATCGAATTTGATATTGAATTTTCACTGTGAATCTGATATAGTCTAGGAACATGACAGTAGAATAATAATAATCTAAAAAAACTTAAAACTGGCGCTACTTTCAAAAATTAAACTAATTTAAAACATTTTTAAAGATTATTGCTATCTTATTTGAATTTCAAATCTAAGAATTCTAGCTTCTGGGCTTTTAGACATATTTGCTCAAACGAAAAGATGAGGATGTGCCTTCAAAAGTAACTTACGTTGATTACGTACAACTTGAAAGTCCAGCTGCTGATGCTGGCATTCGTGCGGGTTTGATTTCATGCTTTTAAAATATAAAAATTATGAATTAACAAAAAAATCTATTAATCTGTAAATATTTTAATAAAATGCGATACACTTTTTCATCACAGGAGAACTTGATTTTAAAAGCTTTTTGTACTGCATAAATGACTGCTTGATTTCAAATGAAATAATAGTACTGCTAATAGAATTTTACTTAAGTTTAGGTGATGTGATAATCTCCATAAATGGTTTGATTGTGACCGAAATGGGTCATGAATCATTGATCAGATTGATCAGTTCTTGTCACCAAATGCGGATGATTGTCATTTTTGAAAATATTCGACAACGAATAGAATTAGTCGCTCGAACAATTAAACTTCGCAAAATCCTTAACGATAAATTGTATCAATTGAATCTGATTGATATCGAAGAGCAGAAAATTTTAAATAGTTAGTTGTTTATTCTTACTTTTCGCTTTCATTTCTACTTTAATGTGCTGGAAAACCTTTAGATTTTTGAAAAGAATTAAATGATAAAATTTATTTGGTCAGTACAGTTTCTCTATCAAAGTAAACATTTCCAAAATGGATTTTGCTTGAAGTGAATTGTTAATTTAAATTGCTTGAAGTGATTGGTTGTGATTATTGAAGAGATAAACTTTTTAGGAGCTTACTTACGTTCGTTATCTGCACAAAAGAAGCTTCACTCTTTGACTGATTCGTTATCATCAGCTGGTACATCTTCGATATCTTCAGCGAGCTTAACGCCTTCTGAACCTGGTGAAATTAGAAATGATCCCAGACCATGTGTGATACGCATACCAACGATTATGATACCAAATCGTGGCACAGGCATAGAAGCAAACAAAAATTTATTTGGGAAACAGATATCCGACCCAGCAGTTTTTCTAAATGCTTCTTCTTTGACACAGCCAACAAATTTAACATTATCAAGAAGGTCGAAGGTTAAAAGAGATGAAGTGGAATCCGAAGAAATTCAACAACGAATTTCTTATTATGGATCTGATTTAGAAGATTTTGATCACATTAGCACATCATCAAATGTTACTGCAGAAATTAGTGATATTCCAAGAATTTGCGAAATCTTTTGCGATAATAATGTTGATGATAGCGAAGATATTAGCTACAATAGTTTTGAAAATAACGATTGCGAAAATTATGAAGGAAGTAGTGATAATGGTAGTGCTGAATTTGCTGATGATAATGATTCTACATCTCCCCTGCAAGAAGTACGATTATCTGAATTTGTATTTGATTCTGTAGCTCTTAATCATGTAATCAGGTTAGATAATGGTGTTATCAGTAGTCAGAACAATAACAGTGAAAAGTCAAGGTTTGAAGTTGCAAACTAAAGTAATTTCTTGCAAGCAAGAATATTCTTTCATTATGTAAATTTTACACAGACTGTTAGCGGGTCTTTTAAATTATGTAAATTTTATGAGATGCTGTTCACCAATAATCCTACCTCATTACAAATCATCCTAGAAGTTTTTCTATTTCGATCACTGCTTTTTCAAAATTGATAGCAAAGATAGATAGTTGAATTTGTAACTTATTCTTTTTCTAATTTACATTTTCATATTTCTGTAAATAATTTTTTCTTTTCCTGGTGATATATGGTAGCAGTTGATGAATTTTTCCCTATTTTCATCCTAAATTTTGCGATGTTTTAAAGTTACGTTTTCCGGTATTTCAGTATATTTTGATTGCTGAAAAAATTTGCTCATTCATCTTTGTTTCTTATCAATTCTAATGTAAGCTTGTCAATTCATTTGAATCAAACTCATTACTGAGTAGCACTTGCAGTTCAACGTAGCATTTTTTTGTTTTTCAAGTAAAATTCAAAGGAATCTTAAAAACTTCAGTACTTGATTACTAAATATGTATAGAAATTCAAAGAGAAAAAATCAGAGGTAAAGATGTTTGCTTGTTTTAGAGATTTTTTGGTTAGTATAAAATTATTAGTTGAAGAAAATGCATATTTTTTATTTTGTTAAGTATAACCTGTTTTTCGATCCTTGTAATAAAAGTAATTAACTTGTACATTTATTCACGCAGATCAGTTATTTCTGAGTTTTGTTTACAGTAATGACTGTAAATATGAGTGTTACAAAAAATGGAAGTAATATTATACATGATTGATCACAGATATTTTTTTTAAGTAGAAGTCAGTCATGTTTTTCTTACCCTTTGTTGAGCATTACAGTGTTGTTTTAGTATAAAATACAGAATTGACTAAATTATTACAATATTTATTAATGCTTTATTCTCACTTGTAAAAATAAAAACGAAATCTTTCCATGAAAAGCTAAAAAAAATTCAATTTTTGAGCTTTTTCAAATTGAATTTAAAAAAAGATTGAACTGTTTGTATTTGGTAAAGTTTTAATCTTTATATTCTCACTTTTAAGCTGTAATTCAATTTATTTAATACGTTTAAATTGTGCCTTAGGTAGGAATTTTCATAAAACTTTTGTGCAATAAAGCTTAATAAATTTAAATATTTTTCAGTCAGCAATTCTTTTCTTACAGAATATTATCAAGAATTCAAATTTTTGGTTAACTATAAATCATATGAATTTTTCTCAAACCTAAAAAGCTTCTGTATGGCAGAGAAATATTTGCCATAAAGAAGCTTTTTAGATTTGAACCGAGATTTGAATTATGACGAGGATATTTTAGCAGAAGATTTTTTTTCGTTCTTGACTTTTTTTAGAAATTTAATGAACAATTTTAGTTATTATTTGAAAAAAATTGTGAGAAAAACAATATCGATACTCTACTCATTGAAATTACAATAATTGTATCGGAAACTGTAAGTTTTTGTAATCAGAATTTGTTAGATAGAAATGCATGAATCATTATGTCAGTGATGTCTTTCACGTTAATATTTGTATATTGCATGAATAAATATAAAATGTATTCTACAAATTAAAAACTATTTATCTTTGTTGGAGCTGAAATTGAAGTGAACATATGCACAAAATGTTTTCAAATTACCAGCAGACATAATTTTGTGAATTACATTGCAGAGTAAATTCACTTTTGTACACGTACGAAAAATATATCAATTAATTGCAACCAAATATTACTTTGGGATTTTTTAAAATATTTTGAGACTAATTTTGCATAAATTAACCCCTACTTCACTTGCACTGTGATATATTGATAACGTTGCACATAACAGTTCTCATTATCAAAATTTTACATGCAAGAAAAAAAAAAATTTCCAGAGCAACGCAGCAGTACTGTTGTTTGTCGATTTTTGCAAAGATATCTAAAAGTTGCAAAAGGTTGAAGGTCATAGAACTATGCTCCGTTTTTTATGATTAGAAACAGGAGCACATTTCTATTACAACGGAAGTTTATTTTGTTTTTTATTTTATTTTAGCGATAAGAAACTCAGCACGAAAATTCACTTCACTAAAATGAGAACAGACAAATAAAAAGTTTGAAATAGACATTGTTTGTTATCTTTCCATAATTTATTGTTGGAAAATGATTGCACTAAGATAAATGCGAGAGAATTGACACGCAAGACTTGTCGAGAATACATAATTTTCGTAAGATTCAACTTTGGTCAACAAATTGAGTTGCTTTTAGAAGTAAACTTATGACGTTAGGCATGATATTACGAATAGTTACTCAGTTTCGCAGGCATTACTAGTCAGATTGCTTTCAGAAATGCATCGATGACACATTATTTGACTATTTTTTTAACTTTTCACATTTTATTTACGAAAATAAAGAATGAATTCGTTAAACTTCCGTCTTCTATCATTCCCAAATCTTTACTTTATTTGTTCTCTCACTGAAAATACAAAGCATCTCTTTTTTATGCTCTCAAGTTTTCCACGCAAGCAACAATAATAAAAATCATAAAAATACTTAAATACTATTCAAGTTTTAAGTATTTTGTTAATTGGTAAGTCATATTTGATGTTTTTAAAAACATTCAAACATTACTCAAGTAAAGTATTTGTAACTTCTGAAATCAAATTGAAACCCGTCGAACATGACGTAACACTATTTACATTAATATTATTATCACTGTTATTATCAATAATATTGCAATTAGATTCACATTGAGTATTCTGAATTGCGACTGCTTGCAAATTTTGTGCACAATCACTGAATGCTGTTGAATTAAATGCCTGCAAGGAATGAATCACTTTTTTAAAATTTTTTAATGAAATATCACAAACATTAGTTTATAATAAATATAAATTATGGACCAATGATAACAGTGATAATAGTGATAATAATATTAACAATAGCAAAAGTAAAAAAGAAATTGTAATGAAATTGTAAAGTGAAATGAGTTATAATTACTTTTGCTCTGAAATGATAGCAAAATTGTATCCCAAAAATTCATATACTTTCATTGTTAACTATGAAACTTAATGTTTTAAAACACGTAATTTTGAAAAATTATAAAATGGAAATTAATTTGTCGGCAAGTTTTGATCAAAATAATTAATTAAAAGAATAATTAAAGCATTTCTAAAAATCGGAAACATTTCATTTGCTTGTGGATTTCATTGGCAGTAACTTACTTATCTAATAAGTATCTAATAAGTAACCTAATAGTAAAGTTATTCAAATTATTTATACCATTTCAATATTTGTGACTTGTCAACACTAATTGCTGATTTTCAGCTAAAAATTAGAAAATAGTCACTCAGCAAGCAAAAATTACTAATAAAAACTACAAATGCAAACTTTCTGTGTCATAAAGTCATTATTTCTCGAACTGACGTCTATTTGCATAGAATGTTGCGACGTGTCAAACAAAGTCGCAGGCATTATTGTCACATTCGTTGTTTGCACGAGCGGTAAAGGTAATTCAGACGATGACAATAACAGCTGCGCAGGTGTTGGCGTATAAGTGCTCATATCTAAATTTTATTAATTTCAAACTCTAAACTCTGTTTTAAACTTCAAATTCAAGCAACTTTTTGACACAACAACTAAATCATAACAATTTAAAGCTAGTAATTAATGCAGATAAATATTAATAAACTTTTGGTCAAAAATAAAGTTAAAATTCGAAAAAAATACATTTCAAGTAGTTTTACGCAAATTTAAGTAACATTTTAAGCGGCAAATGTAAGTAGTTTTTACACAACGCCCAGTATGCGTAATATTCGTCAGAACATTTAACAAAATTTAATCCGCAAACTTTTGTGCAAAGTTTGTGATAATTAATGAAAATTAATATATATGAATAAAAATACCAAAGTTTGTGCTTGTTTTTCAAACTTGCCTGCACAATTATTGCTTGCTTTACTATTCTAAAGCTTATGCATAATTTTTTAATTATGATTAAAAATAGTGATGCTATCAGTTTGTATTTTAATGATTACTTTAATGACATTTACTTGTTGCTAAATTATTTGCAGTGATTAGTGCAGGGTATTCCACTCGGTTTCTCGCAGGTACTAATATATTTTGATCCATTTGAGAAGGATAAAATGCGCTTGTAAATGTTGCTGTGTAGCCTCAAAAGAACAATTTTATTTCTTTTGAAGAACTATATCAGTTATCATTATCTTTCACTTAATAATTTTTAATCTAAAAACTGCTTTCTACCTTTTATCTCATCTTAATAACGCAGAAAAGTTGGAGTTCAAGCATGCAAATATGCAAAAATTTCGAAGTATATTTTAAATAACTCAACTTTTGTCAAATTAATAAAATTAAACTATCAAAATTTTTTAAAATGTGAGCAATTATCACACTATGAGCAATAATATAAGCATAAGGTTGAAAATTATGTGACAAATCAACAGACCTGTCTGATTTGCAACATAATTTTGATCATACAGATCAGAAGAGGATGATGAAGACCAATAATTAGCTTTAGCTGATGAGGACCACTGATATCCAGAATCAGCCCGAAATGTGCTGCTAGTATTGTCAGCGGAAAAATAAGCAGTAAATCCAGGAAACCCTGTTAGATCCTAAACAATATATGACTAAAAGTAAGATACATAATTTATTTTATCTTCAAAACGAGATTATTTCAGATGAGAATGTCAGGTCATTCTTTCAAAAAGTTATAAATTTTGCAAGAAAGGTTACAATCACTTCAGGAAAGATTAGCACACAAGTGAAGGCATTTATACCTGAGAAAACTGAAACAAGTCTGGTAGTTCTGACGCATTTGCTGTACCGGAAACACTTTGACTAACTCCCGTAGTGAAGGTACTCGTTTGCGGTATTCGAGGTAATCGATTCACGTATGAAGTAGCCATTGTTGCAGCAGATAAGATTTGTTGTTGTTTTTCATGTTGTATCTACCAAAAAATTTTCAATAAAATTTCTTCGTAACTAATACGTACGTTAACAAGTAGACACAGTATAAATTCTACAAGTAAGCAAAATTCGCATTAGATAAATTTGCGTAATATTCGAATTCAAAGATATGCAAAGGACAAACCTGCTTTGGGCGACTCGTAGATGGTGCTACGCTTAGTGAATTTTGTGTTGCTGGCAAAGTAGATCGATGGTGATTAGTAATACTATTATTTTCGTGTTTTCTCCGTTTACGTCCACGTGGTTGTTGCTGTTGTTGCTGTTGTTGTTGTTGTTGTTGTTGAACTGCTAGTGATAGGGCTGATGACATATTTTGGTTTCCTGGTGCTTGCATTGACCTCAATATTAGCTGTAGTTGTAGTTAAACAATTATGAGCTGCCATGGGCTGAGAAGATAATTTTGCTTCGTTTGAAAAGCTTGAACGTAAACGTATTTCTTGATCATTGCATAAACTAAGCACCAATCATTTAATGCTATTCTATGATTAATAAAATTATTCTGCAAACTCAATTGTTTCACATACGTTTAAGAATTGAATCTATCAATTTGATTGATAAGATGGATACCAAATAAGTCTGAATTAATTCAGTTCTTACCTTTCATTAATTGTAGAAGGTCGCGTCTTATGTTGCGCAGCGGAAGAGCGATTTTTTTCATTCACATAGAAAGGTAATGATGTGGTACCTAAATTGACAGCAATTTTCGTTAAAAATTAGTAAAATTAAGCAATTGTATTTTATCCAAATGCATTCTATATAAAGTTTGTATTTCTGAATCAGACGATATTTTGTTCACGTAGAATAGAAAACGATGCTAGCTACTGCGTATCGTATTGCATGCCAATCACAGCTTTATAAATCCATCCGTTTTGTTAGTAAAAACGCTGCATCGGCCGGGAATCGAACCCGGGCCGCCCGCGTGGCAGGCGAGCATTCTACCACTGAACCACCGATGCTCATACCTACCAATTTCTTAAAAAATTTTATATTAATTACTTGAGTAAATTACCAGATGCTGTTAATGGTAGTGCTGCAATTGACTGTAAATTTCTTGCAGACTGTAAGAGAGAATCATCGAATGACAGCAATTTAGCTTTCAGCGATGTTCGTTTCTCCAGCAGCATAGTCCCTTCCACTTCACTACAAAATTTTATCTTAAAAAATCAGTTCAAAATTCAATTAATTATATTTATTTAATTAAATTCCAAAAATTATATAAATAAAAATGTTACAAAAGCTTACAGTTCACATAAAACGCAAATAAGAAATATGACAAATGGCGATTCAATAACTTTTATTCTTTTTGACTAATTACTACTTTTCATTTGATGAATAGTATTATTAATTATTAAATAATTTAAATTTTTTTTGAATTTAAAAATTTCAGTGTGTTTCATTTAAAAGATTAAGTGATAAATCGATTCTTTTCGTATGAATGTGAGAATGAACAATTCAGAAGTAGAGTAATTTTTATCAAAATTAAGCTAATGAGATCAGTGCATTACTGTAAATTAATCTATAGGAATATTAATCAACAGGAAGGATTAATTTAATAAAAATTTGAATTAATTTGATATCGATGAAAGAATGGATAAATACGTTAATAAGCGATGAGTCATGCCAATAGCCTCAGGTTTGCCATTTTTGTGAAACATTCGACAACTACTTTGCATCCAATAAATTCTTTGACTACATTTACTGATCAATCGATAAATCAATATGCCACTTGCGCTATTTTTTGTTACTGAAAATATCAAAATGATGAAATGTTTAAATGATTAAGACTAAATAGTTGAAGTTTTATAGCAAAGGCAAAAATTGAACAACCACGTCATAAATAGTCGAATTTTAATAATAAATGAAGTGACATAATAATCAAATAAGTAATAATTAATCTTTTGTATTTTATATAATAGTAATAATAACAATATTATTATTGTTAATATTAATATTAATATTAATATTACTAATAAATAATGATTAGCACTGAGAATTTTTTTGCGTAGTACACATCTAACCGAATATATTGCTCATGTTTATGAAAATGAGCTTTATTATATTAATTATTTCTTTTGAGCCTTATTACAACTGTATTAGACGAGAATCAGATGTACTCAAGTCGCATATGAGTTTACTCCGTATAATTTAAGAATCTGAATAAAATACTAAGAACGAAACTACATGAATATACAATATTAGAAAATATGTGGACAAAACTAAATTATATAACTTAGTTTCAAACAAGTACAAGTAACTATTAAATTTGACCTTCTTTGTGAGCTTCTGCAATACATGTGGCATCTTCAATATGAACCAAACTGTAGAAGCTATGTGGCAGATTCTTGTCATCTAATTCTAATAAAGCTCTGAAATAAGAAAATCAATAAATTATTAAATAAAAGTTCAAAAAGTAATTGTAAAAATTTATGAATGTATGAAACTGAATTGAAAGCAAACTTCATGCGATTATCCATGGAAACAAGCATAAAATCAAGCGAATGCTTGGATTTCAAGATTGGGTCATCAACTTGCTGATCAATTACATTTGGTGGAACAAATGGACTGAAAAAAATTCTTGCCTATAAATTTTCAAAATTTCGATAGCTTACAGATTTATTTCTCAAGCTACTTGTTGCAAAACTGAGTAAAAATACTTAAAAATTCTAAAAAGACTCTGAAATAATATCTTATTTTTATTAAATACAAATTCCATTCATAAATGAACATAATTTCAATTACAAAGTCTCTCATTTGAAGAAAAAAAAACAATTTATGCATTCAAAATTTTAATTATGAAAATTATTTTCGTTAATTTTTGTTAAATTTGAGAAATATGATTTTTTTTGCAACTTTTTTGATCTAAAGTTTTTAACTCAAATAAAAGCTGTTAATTTTAAATGTACAAAATATTGACCTGCAGATAGCTATCAAGCCAAGAACAATATTACCAGATGAATGAGCTTCAATTCTGTTCAACACGTAAGAATGTGGTAATCCGTGAAGGCTTATTAACTTTCCACGTACATCTATTCTCTAAGGAATGCAGTAAAAATATTCACTTATTATAGATATCAAAATTGTGCACATTTAAATCAAGATTTAACTGATTTATTATTAATTTGCTTTGGATACGATTATTTCCACGTATATTATATTGATTTTTATTTAAGCAGTTAATTCATATAATTGATATAGAGCTAGAATTGACTTTACTCTTTAAAAATATGATTTGAAATTGTAGAAAAAATAACCAAAAATCCACATGTATTATCCAGCAAGCAACGAAATCGTGCATTGACATTACGTTCTAAGAAAGGCATTCCACCTGAAAATGATGCTAGTATAAACCTTATAACTTAATAAAAAGCCCCTTGACTTTTATACTGCATCAAATATTCAAGAATAAAACAATCGGTTACTTGTGAAAGTCTTTCGTACCAGGCGTAAGGATATCCTGTAAACAGGTCACGTGAAAAGGAAGGTTATAGTTCCATGATAATTGCTGCTTGATATCTTCACGATCTTCAGAATGAATCATATCAAATAATGGCTGATGTAAAATATCTGACTAAAATTATGTATTCATCATTTATGTGATTTGATATTTTATCGATTACTATTTCAAGAAATCGATCTGCAAATTATTGATATTGTTTTTAATCGGTGAATACACCTTTTTCTCGAGCTAATTTATACTTAAGTCAAAAAAATTGAAGCAAATATAAAATTTTTGTCAATATCATCTTTGTTTGATCTGATCTAACTTTCTTGCAGTAAGTCATTCTAATTTTTAATTCTTTCCTGAAGATTGCTCAAACTGACAAAAGAAGCCTTCCTTAGAAGTACCAAAGACTTGTTTGATTATATTTTTCATGTATTAGCATCACAAATTACTCACTCATAAAGTTTATTACTTTTGGTTAGTATTAGTAAAGCAACAGAGTGAGCTTGAAATTTGATTAATTTTGCCCAGTTTGATTATACCTGATGGAAGCCTAAATAAGCTTCAATATTCTCCGAAGCATAATAAATATCACCGTTTTCGTTTAAAATCAATATGAAACCTCCAAGAGCCTAAAATGATTGCTCGGAAGTACCATTTCAGAGTTTTGCAAATTTTAAAAACTTCAACTGAAATGGAAAAGAGTTAATACAAAGAGAGCTGTAATTCTTAGATTCGAATCTGATTGAAATTTGTATAATAATTTTAACTTCTTTGATTGATTCGTAATAAACACAGAAAAGTCACAATAAGTGAATTTTATCAGTTATCACAAATGCAAATATAAAACATTTATTCACTCTTTCAATATGAAAAAGTCAGCTTTGAATTGAATTAGTAGATTTTTACCTTTAAGGCCATACTATCAAAATCATGCTCGTTTGGGTCAATGAGCGATTGTCCAGAAGTCCGATGAACTGCGGTTGGTATGCCACCATAAGGAACTACCGTAGTTTTGGTGGGGATAAATGGATAATTGTGCGCAAACGCAAACGGAAAGTTTGCAACGTATGAAGCGCGATGTAAGCATGCTGAAAATTATTATTTGGATTTGCCAATTTAGCATATTAAATAGAGATTGAGTTTAAAACTAGGTTTGCTCGCAAGAAATCGTTAATAATTACTCAAAACATGTTATGAAAATCCTTAATGAATATCAAAATTTCGGAAGTATAAATAAGTAAACGTTCAATTAAACAAGATAACAACTAAATAAGTAATCATATGCTTCAAGAAATCAGCAATTATCTTTCAGTTTCCAGCCATATTTCGAAAATTTTAAGCAGCAAATGAGAAGTGTATATTTTTTTGAAGTGATTTCATTTCTGCGAAAATTTTGGATTCTATAATTTCATAAAAATGATTAATTTGATAAGATTAAGAGTGATTAGTGGCCTGAATGTTCCCTTAAAATATTCATAAATCACATATTTCCGTATAATACTTCATTTCTTTGCATGTTATTGTTATTATTACTATTATTATTATTATTATTATTATTTTACTATTATTCTACTTCCTAAACCTTCATTCAGATACGAACATTGCTATTTACCAATTAAACGTGACAAGAATCAGTAATAATTATTGGTTTATGAGAGTTATAGAAAAATGTCTTGAAATGATCCTTCATGACATATTTACCTAAACGATTACTTTTCAACCGCTGAAATGGTCTCAGCAAATTTTACAAGTTAATAATAGTATGCATATTTCTCAGTCTTATCATCAAATGTCAAAAGACTATTCAAAATGTTTTGCATATCAAGAAACTAATGCAGTCAGCCGTGAGTACACGCAACGCAAAGTACTGTAAAGATCAGAAATATGCATACTATTATTAATTTTTATTAGTACTCTTAATCTCATCAAGAATTTTTGCAAAAATTAAATCACTCAAAAAAATCACTTTGTACTTTCAATAAACTTTAATATTTAAATAAAAATTTAACTCAGTATAAATAATTATATTAATCTTTTCTAATAGAAATGAAAATTTTTTAAATTGATTAGAAAATACTTTTTTTAAAATTTAGAATTTTAATTAAGAATTTCAATTAAATTTTTGACATCACAAATACACAGTAAGCTTTTGAGTGAGAATAAAATTACTGCAGTTTCAACAATCAGAATTTTTGCTTGCTTACAAAGCATAGAAATTGGAACAACTGAAGAAACGAGTAATTGTTATGCAAATCTGTCGAAGTTCTTGAAAAATTTGCATCTCGATAAATTCAGTTATTTCTATTTGCTTGTTTGATATGAAACTTGCTAAGCAAGCAATAATTTTTCACAATTCTATTAAAATGCATGAATAAAAGCATCTAAGACTAATTACTAAAAAAGTACGTCAACATACGTCAAAAATTAAATTTTGTGCTTACTATTATTGTATACAACTTTTTCATCATCTTAGAGCATTTCATTTTTTTGCAATTCTGAAACATATTTGAATCGATCCTGATGACAATTTGACTATTTTTATATTACTTGAATATTTGAATGATTGGATATGATTGTTGTAATCAGTCATATCTCAACAACTATCAATTACACCATCTCTGAATATCCCTAGTATTTCTAAACTAACCCCTAAAAACATCAAATCGCTATAATAATAATATCTCAGACAGATGTTTCACGTTAAAATCTAAATTATAATAATTCTTAAAAACATATGATTAAATTCGTCAATCTTCTCTATAATTCATGAAACAGTTCAAAATCATACATAAAAAAGTGTTTGGATTGAATTTTGCAGCAACAAAAATTAATTTACTCAATATTATCAGTTTTGTAAGTTAAACGTTTTTGAAATTTATCAAATTTTCAAACTTTTCAATTTAGACTTTGCTTTTTATTTGCAAATTCATTATAAAATCCAAAGCAGTGAAGTACTTCTGTAATTAACAACTTTAATGACTTAATTTGAAATTTAAAAAAATGAAAATTTGATTTGATTTGGAGTTTTTTCTTGTTTACATCATTACTTACGATACTATATTTGATATCAACGAGGTGCGAAAATTATTAGATGATTAATTCGCGCAATATGCAGTAATTAAGTACTAAATTATGTCTTCAGACGATTATCTCAGCTTCATTACACTTTTTTACGCTTGATTAAACTGGTAGAAGCAGGTGGAATATGCAATATGCACGTTCGAATTGTTAATTCCGAAGATGATTTTTCTAGCAATTTAGTACTGAAAAACAGAATTAATTTTTTCATTACAAATTATTTTTATTATTTCTGTAACTTTCGCTTCTAGCATTCATTTTGCAAAACTCCAGTGTTATTCTTCGCATTTTGCCATGACATTTTCTGAACTTAAAAGCAAAACTTATCATTCTTAGCTCTGCAACTTAATTTTTCTCAATACTAGCAAAAAAATTTGAAGAAAAGTTTAAACTTAAATGTTTTGCACAATTTTGTTTAAAAATGAATGCAAACGAAAAAATCAAAAACTCACATTTGTTTGCAAAATAGTAATGGATAGTTGTTTTTTTGTACAAAAACTTTTACAAAATTTATATTTATTTTAATTAATTTTTATTGCAATTCGATAATAAAGAATAAAATTTGTAGCTTAAATATAAAATTTGAAGTCAATTCAATCAGTTTATTTTCAAAATTAACAGTTGGCAATCAAATGTATTTTGCAATTTAACTATTCTTATCCTTATTCTTATTCTTATTTTATTAATTAATTAATTAATTAATTTATTCATTTATTTTTATTATCATAGTGCAATTACTGTAGCCACCATACAAATGAATCATATATTACGAATTAATTATTTAGTGATATTATTTATCTACCACAATTTAGAAGATTAATTTCAACGTGCATTACAATCGCAAATATTTAAGAAGAAAATAAAAAAGTTGCAGTTATAAATTTGCATATTCATTTCATTTCACTGTGTAAGTTGCGTGTTTGATTAATGCAAAATACTTGCGAAGTTATTACGTGTAACTCTTTTTTTAGATATTTCCGATGTATCTGTAGAAGAGAACCGAAGCTTTTGTGCACATCAAACATATGTCCTTAATATTCGTTCGGTGAATCTTTCCTTTGTGGTAAACTAACAGTGACCTTCGACCTTACGCTAACATGACACAGTGAAAAGTAAACAAACAGATGACATGAAGGCATTGTTGTACAATTAAACAAACTTATATACAAGAAAAAATGGCTAACCTCGAAAATGAGCTTTTATTTGTAAATAACTAACAGCCAAACGTAATACGCTAAGTTTGTCTAGCCTGAAATTGTTTAAAAATTGAAAATCTTTGCGACAAGTTTTTGTTGGAAGTGATCGAATAATAAATATTTAAATTGTTGACTGAGAATTTTCTGATTGATTTTGTATAATCAAAGTAGTTCTCACGAAAATATTATATAAATTTACTTTAATCAAATTAGAGCTAAGAATTTAATATTAACTTCAAAAAAGTTGCCATAAATAGAACTTTAGCTGTTTTTATTGCTATGGGAGAGAAAAGCAAAAATATGGAAAGTTATTAGAAAATTCCAAGAGTTTTCTATTTAAAAAAATCAATAATAAAGTTAATTAAAGTGTTTTTATTATTGTTATGAATAAGATAATTACAGTATATTTTCTTGAAGTAACTAGTTTGCGATTTGACCCTGTAGATCACAGTTGGAATCTTAGATTTTAATTATTTTTTGAAAAAAAACAATTAACTATCCTGATGACAATTTGACTATTTTTACAAATTTATCAAATAAATTTGTACTCATGATAGTAACAATTGTATTAATTGATCATTTCAGGTTATGTGACTAAAATTAAAAATCTAAGGAAAATTGTCATATATTTTAATTCTAATTAAATTAGTGCTTTTTTTTTTCAAAAAAGTAAGACAATAAAATTTGGATGAATATTGTTTAATAATCAGATCTTGACCTGGAAATTACACTTTGCTCATAAGGTAGAAGGGCAGCAACTGTTTCCAATTCGCTATTCAATCGTTCGCGATGTCTTTTGCTTGGATTTGTCGTTGCTCCAGGCTTTGCGACTTCTCGAACTCTAAAATAATTGTCTCTTCAAATAATTTATGCTGAATTTATTCATATCCATCAAAAATTTGTATACTATTGATACCAGATTTTATCTAATACTCATGGAATTATTTTCTATCTGCCATAACAATGACGAAAAAACTTCTAAGCTTTTTAGCAAAAAAATCTTGTAAGACATTGTGATTGTCAAGAACTGAAAGTTAATAATATCAATACAAACTTCAAATTACTTTACTGCAAGTATTTTTTGATTATATTAGCACAAAATAAAAAATTTGAAGCATTAATTTATTCAAATTATCTAAGAAATTTTAGTTTAAGTAAAATATTTCAATACTTTTTGTAGATTATCTCTTTGATTTTGTTTGCAGCTAATCCCTTCACTCCTCAAGCTTACGATGCATTCATTACTCTTAGAAGATTTACTTTCTAGACTAATTAATAACTCTTTTAACAATAAATTATCACGCAATACCCTTACAATTAATTAATTAGTTAGCATTGTTCTTTTATAATTTATCAAATATTGCCTTTGAAAATGTCTTTTTTTAACAATTACAAAATGTTTGAAAACTTTGACATAAATTATTTGCCAATTTTGTCATTTTCAGTCTTTCTGAATGAATACATTTTCAAGGCTTAAGCAGACAAGATGAGATAACAATTCGCAATGATAAATGTTGTAGTATAGAATTGAAATAATGTCAGAAAAAAATCATTTAATCAACTTGGAGAACATGTCTGCTTCTCTTTTTTTCCCGTATTCTTTTGCTATTTCTGCTCATTTATACGGTAGAATTAGATGTATTCAACAGCTGCAAGATGCCATTTCATGACAGCCATAAAAATGCATCTTAACGACGATGACTTCTGCGCATATTATTAATTATTAATTAATTTGTATATTATTGATATCGTCTCTTCTTTCCTCAATATAAAATAATAATTACTCTTTGCATGAATTCGTTAACTTCTTAGAAATCTCAAAGCCAAATCGATAATAACTTTGTAGAATTAACTCCTAAAATTTATCTCAACTACACATTTGCATTCTATTACAATAAATATTACAGCAAACTTTGTGTTATTTCTTCCTAAAGCATTTTAAAACTGTTCAGATGGAATTTTTACGTGCTCTCAGAATGATTTGACAAGAATTTATTGCTTACAAAAATAAAAGAAACTTTAAAATTAATAAATATAAAAAATGAAAGTGAATTTGATTGCAAATAAAAAATAAAATTGTATTTGAATGAAATTTAACAAAAGCGCAAAATTTAGTTCTAATTATTATTATTATTACTTATTCCATTGGTTAAGTTATGCAACAGATATTAGTATTTTTGTTAATAAAATAAAAACCATGTTATTTAGCGAAAGTTTTAACAGAAAGTGAAAAGTATTTTATTTTAAGTAAGCATTAAAAATGTTTTTCGATTAAATAAAAATTGAAGAAATTGGAATTACTTTTAAAATTGAAACTGGTTCAAAGGTCAAAAAAACGATTAAAAATTGAGGTGAAGACAAATCGAGAAGTTCACATATACACTTAATTGCCTTTCTTATGAACGATAATTAATACCTTTGCGAAAAATTGTGCCAGCATTTATTGTATTCATTTCAAAAATAACTTTTGCTATATTGAGCTAACTTATAACAAAAAAAAAAAAACAATTCAAGTAAGAATTCCCAAACAAATTTTGAATTTTTATAATTCGAAATAACTAATTTCAGTATTAATAAAATATAATAGCAAAGCAATGAAATTATTCTGACTAAAACTTTAATGACAAAAATAGCAATCTTAAAGCCTTCATTTCTTAGCAAACTTTCAGAAAGCATTTTCTATGAGTAAATCAGTTTAAAAAGTTTTGTTTTTGTTTACATTCCTCAGAAATTTCCCAGTTAATTTTAGTAAGAGATACAGTAAGTTAGCAGAAGACACGCAATTATGGTAATTTTTAATCTTTGTATAAGAGCAAGAACTTACATCTCTTTTATTGTAATAAAGACGTGTTGAATAACTTATTGAGTGCATCTATCTTCCTTTGATAGTTACAGTAAGAAACGTGCTTGAATAATTAGTCTTCTTGTATGTAAAAGTAATTAGTCTTGTGATAATAATTTACTTCTGCCATATTGCACATTTATTGTGGGAAAACAAATAACAAATGAAACTAAAAATTTTCAAACAATGCAATGAGAATACAGATTTATCTAGGTCGTGACCTATAAGACATAAGTGAGGTTATGATCATTAATTGCAAAGTAATCGCATGCCATGACCTGTTGACCTAATCTAAACATGTCAAAGCAACTATATCCATGATTTGTTCTCATTTATACTAAAGTTACTCAAAAATTTGTTACCATTCAATTAAGCTATTCTTTGATTTTTCATTTTTAGAGCTCAAAAATGGCAATAATGTAAGAGACTAATGTTTAACAATGATAGCATCAATACCGATATTAATAATTGTATTATTAAAAAAGTAATATTAGCAACAATTAATCAGAGAATCTTGAAGCATTAATTAATTATTTATTTCTTGAAAGTTTAATATTTGAAAAGAACATTTTAGCAATATATATGTAAGCTTCGAATTATATATAACTGTAGACAAACCAGCCTCAAGTCACTATCACAACTCAACCACGCACAATTTCGGTAAGCGAGCAAGAAAAGAGTCGAGTATTCACATTCAAGCATGGAATTTCTGTGACTGAAAGGTCTAACTGTAGGTTTGTTTTAGCTTCTAGAGTGAAAAAGCACTTGTTATCTGTCTCTTTGGACTTGTAAACATAATTTTTAGAGAATGGCTGTAATTCTTACTGCGATTTAATTAGTAGCTTTACTCATAAATAGTTCAAAAATACAGGAAGTTTGATGAAAATTTCATGAAGATCGAGCATATTTCAATAGGCTAAATGCCGTAAATGTTAAAATTTTTCATAATAGCATGAAAATATATCTCAAATCAGCCAAATATTCAAATCAAACTGAAAATGAATGATAATTCAAATTTGCAATTATAATATCAATACTACTTTTCAATCCTACAATGACAACGGCCATATCATTACTATTACTATTAATATTATATTATTATTATTATTATTATTATTATTATTACAAATATCACTACCAGTGTTGTCATTACTGTCATTAATATTACAGTAACTAATAGAAATGGCTACAATTATTAACATATAAGTAAATGATCGCAATCGTAATTACTGATATGAAATTAATTACAGTGAAGTCATAGTGATATGATCATAATATCCAATGAATTTTGTAAAAATATGACAGTGATATATATTATTCATACTTATTACTTTTTGACTTTGATCAATACTGTGGAAGAATGGTAGAGATATTGTAATGATAAATTCATCATCATTGAAATATTTTAAATAATAATACAAATACAAATAAAATACAATGATAAAACAATAATTTGAAATAAAAATAATAGTATTTGAAATAGTATTATTTTATTATTATCTATGCTAGCAATTGTGGTATAAAGTATGGTACTAGCGATACCTTTGCTAGAATAATTCCCAGTAATGGTTGTATAAAATATTGCCCAGAGTGTAAGGTGCAGAACCATAAAATAATAATAGTTATTGAAAAGATTTTTAGAGGGAAAAGCGTATATAGCACAGGAATCACTGGTTAAAATACAACATTACTGCAATTGCTAGCTAGAATGATAATTGTGGTGTTTGAAGGTTTCGCAGTCAGGCAACATTTCGTGATGTCAAAAATTGTACCCTCCTCTCAAAATAGCTTTCGTGATAGTTACTTACTCAATTACTTACTCACCTACTTACTTATTTACTTGCATACTTACTTACATACTTACGTACCGCATGCCACATCATGCATATCACTCATTTTGCTTCGGTTTATTTCACTTCGGTAACCTCAAGTCTATCTCCTTTGTTCTTACTTAAGCATACAAACCACGTTCAGTTAGTCTTTCAAAAATTTGCATAATTTTTTTGTACTATTTCTTTTTTCAAGAAGAAAAGTAAACATTTACGTTTACTGTTGAGTTAAAACTCATACTCTTTTGATAGCATATTTAGAAATTACAAATACTCTTATAAAATATCAAATAATTTTAAACAGAATTGTCCATTTCATTATTATCTTGCGGTTAATTTGCAAATTAAAAAAAATTCTAGTAAAGTTCATAATTAACTGATCTCTTCAGAGCACTCAGATTTCTATCATTCGTTCAGAAAGTTTATTCTTCGGAAATAATGTAAAATTTTGTTAAAATTTCTTATCGCAATTAACTTTTTATACAAAACCTTAAAAAATTTACTCTCAATTTATGCTCCAGCACTTTATTAATAAATTTCTGTATAGCTGACTCGCAATCAGATCCATTTTATTAACAGTACCAAAAATTACTTACTGTAGTTTTAAAATTAGAATTCTGAAACTATAATGGATATTTTCACAAGATTATACTGATATTATATATGTCTTTACTTAATTTATCTCGAAAGTTAAATCGTTATCGTATTTTTAATCGTTTAGTCATTTGTCGTTTATAAATGCCAGAAATTGTCTAAAAAGTTATTTTTTGTTATAATTACTATTTTATCCATTATATATATTTGGATACTTTTTGTTATCACGAATGCAAAAAAGATATTCATAGAAGACCATTTTGTTTTAACGTACTTCTATTATTCCAAAAAGCGTGTCGTATTAGCTTTGATACATTACGTCAAAAAAAACGTTTACGTTTATTTTCGTAAATCATTAAAGTATATTATCTCAGAGAGAAAATTTTTTCTAAACACCAAAACTGATCATAACAATATTTTAAATAATTTTTAGAAGCTTTGATTACAAGGGACAATACTTTCTGCTCAAAATGTATCCTTCTGAAACTTAACGCAGCACATATTCTTAACATTGGAAGTAAGCAATTATGCATATTTTTAGGTTAGTAAATTAAAAATTACAAACCGTTTGAAATTTCTTTGTCGTCGTTTATTGGCATACATAACTTCCATGCATTGCTTATTTACAGTAATAATCTGCAAAGTGTATTGTATATGCTAACTTATATTTTGTTTGAATAAAATATTCATCTAAAATTTAATTAAATAAAAATATAATTTGATCATTTTTTTAATCAGTGAATTACTAATTAACGTTAATTAGCTTTGTCTTAGGCTAATTTTTATCAATTTTTAATTCATTACCGATTTTTTCAGTTTATTTTAGTATTTCAGTGATTCTTTCAAAATTTCAATTAAAATATTGTCTAATATAAATGGTATTGCACACTCTCAGATCAAATATTAATTAGCAAATTTCCATTTTGTCTTATTATTGTGCACAAAAATGGCAAAGTTTTGATCGTGCATTGTACTCA